GCGCTGTGGGGATGGTAGGAGAGAAAGAAAAGGAACCAGCAAGGAAGGAAGGGTCAGAGAAATAGAGGAAGAAATGACAGAGTGCAGTGTCTTGGAAGCCAGTGAAGGGTGAAGATATCAAGAATGAGGGGCTGGTCAGAAGTGCTGGCTGCTGTAGAGAGGTCAAGTAGGAGGAGGCCAGGACAAGGGCTGTTGGATTAATAATAAAGAGGTCACTGGTAACCTTGGAGAGAGCTGTCGCAATAGGCTCTCAGAGATGCAAGCTGTATTCAAAGAGGTTGATGACTGACTAGTTATCCCTTCCACATCATGATTTTCCCCATCACAGTTTAAATATATCTCAGGTCGGCATAAGAAATTAAATGGGAATTTTTGGAGATTTTTGCGGAAGCCGCAGATGACACATGAAGGCCAGCAAATGACATAGAAAAAGTTTAGAAACTCAGAAGAGCATAAAATATATATAGTATTATATAATATCAGCCCAAATTTTACAGTAAGGTACTGTAAATACCCCATAAAAGAAAAAAAATTCAGACTTATTCTCTGGTACAGAGAGGACCAAAAATTTTTACATGGATTTACCAGATTGCAGGGATTCTGTACCCCTAACCCCTACAGTGTAGAAGGGAGAACTGTACTCTTTCTAAAAATTTAGGAGTGAGAGTGAGGAAAGAAATGGAAGCATACTTTGAGGTTACAATGAGACCAAGGGAAGATGGGGGACCTGGGCATTTTGGGAGGCTGACTTGAAAAAACTAACAACTATGGAAAAATTGAAGATAAGATTATAAATTTAGAGCACCTCCCTCCTTTTACAGAGGAGGAACTGAGGCCCATGGAGTTTAAATGACTTCCCCAAAGGCATTCAGATAAATAAGCAGCAAAGCTGGTATTCAAACCCGGGTCCTCTATCTTCAAATCCAGCAGTTTTACACTATCCCTGGATGCCTCTCTTTTTATTCTTGATTTTGAATTTTGAGTGATGCTGGTGGTACCTTTCATCTGCTCTTATGTATTTTGTATATACCGATTTATGTTGTCTCCCATTAGCGTGTAAGTTCTTTTATTGCAAGAATGGGGAGGGGGAGGTTATTTTTTTGCTTTTCCTTTGCATCTCTAGCATTTAACACAGTTTCTGGCACATAGTAGGTGCTTAATAAACACCGATTGATATGGAAGTCCCATGAGGTGAAAAATCCAAGGAACTATGAGAATAGGGTGTTGGAAAGAGCAGCATAGATATGGAAGTCTCTAAGGATGATGCCAGAGGAAAGGGGTGGGAGGACACTGGAGCCAGGTGCCAAAGAGAAAGGTGGGAGAGTACCCAGGACAGTGCAGGACAACCATGAAGAATGGGGGAAGATGATAAAATTGGATGACATGAACTTCAGAGGAAAAGTGGAGCTGTCAACTGATGCTAACAGAGAAATGGGGTTATTTAAAATCATGACTGGGAGGAAGGCATAGATGGTATTGCTTATCAAATTTGCTGATGACACAAAGCTAGAAGGGTTAGCCAACCCACTGGATGACAGTCAGATTTCAAAGAGATCTTGACAGACTAGCACGGTGGGCTGCATCTAAAAAAGATGAAATGTAATTGAGATAAATGTAAAGTGCTACACTTGCATTAAAAAGTCAACTTCTCAAATATGTGATGGGGGAGTTGTGGCCGGACAACCTGTCTGTTTCTTTTACCTGTCTAGCCATTCTCTCTCGGTCTCCTTTGCTGGTTCCTCATCCGTTTCCAGACCCCTAAGTGCAGTTGTCCCCTTCTGAGCTCTCTCCTTTTCTTTCTCTACCCTCTGTCCCTTGAACATCTCATTAGCTCCTATGGATTCTAGTATTATGCCTTTGCAGATAACTCCTAAATCTATTTATCCTGCCTGACTCTCTTCTGAACTCCATCTTGCCTAAAGGTTGTCTCATCAGCATCAGTATGTCCAAAACAGAACTTGTCATCTTTCCCTTTCAACCCAGCCCTTCTTCAACCTCCCCTTACTTCTCTTTGGAGCACTTTAATTCTCACAGTAATCCAGCTTTGTAACCTTGGGTCAGCTCTGACTCCCCCTTCCCCCCACCTGCTTCATCTCCAATATTTAGTCAGTTTCCAAGTCTAATCAATTCTACTTTTATGATACCTCTCCCATCCTTCACTTTTTCTCTAGTCACGTATTGCAGAAAGGATTGCTTCTTAGCAGAGATTCTTTACCTTTCCTGTGTCATGAACCCCTTTGACAATCTGGGGGAGCCTCTGGACCCTTTCTCAGAATAATTTTTAAATGCATAAAATAAAATACATAAGATTACAAAGAAAACTGACTATAATGAAATACATATATGAAACACAAATATATGTATGCGTATATATTTAGAAGTATATACATATAAAATACATTGATAAAATATGATGCTATATTATATTATAATATACATATATAATATATTTTATGATATGGTATAATAAAATATATATTCAAGTTCATGGCTACCAGGTTAAGAACCCCTACTCTATAGATTGGGGTTGGACCAAGGTCTTTCCAGATTCTTAGATCCTCTGATTCTGAGGGACTTGGGGAAAGGAAAGTTGGGATGCATAAGGCTGAGAGAATGTTGTGAGAGGAGGCAGCATCAGGACAGGGCTTGTGTGTTAGGGCGGTAGGTCTGGATGGAAAGGATAGGAGAGTAGAAAGGTGGGAGGGAAGCTGGTGGGGTATGATAGCCACAAAGGAAAAGGAATATTGTGCTATTCAGTTCAACAAACACTTATTTAGACCCCACTGTGTAGGCACTGTGCTAGAGTAGGGGATACTAAGAACATGAAACTATCTCTGTCTCCCCAAGCAACTTATTTTCTCTTGGGGAAGATATCCCAAATACAGTAAATACAAGATCTAGGGACTGAACCTGTGATTTCGTTGGTATAGGGAACTCCTGGATGAGGACATTCCCTCTACTCATGCAGTTTTACCTTCTCAGGTCTTATGGGGTTACCTCGAATGCTTGCCCAGGGTCATACAGCCAGTATGTGTCAGAGGTGGGATTTCCTGTAGGCTCTGAAACCAGCCATCTATCTAGTATACCACATTGTCTTGCCAGTAAATACAAGCTATATACAAAGTGATTGACAACTTATGGAGTAGAGGAAAAGTGTTAACAAGTTAAGAGAGTGGAGGAGGTGGGGGTCAGGAAAGGCCTTGTGTAGGATCTGGGACCTAATCGTAGCTGTGAGCAGAGCTAAGGATTCTCAGAGCTGGACATAAGGAAGGAGAGCTTTCCAGGTGTGGTGGTCAAGCAAGTGAGGAGAAAGTGCTTTCTAGGCCTGAGCAGACCAAGGTGATTAATGGAGACACTTAGTTTTTGTAAGAGTGGAAGTGTGATGATGCTTCTACAGTCCAGTGTGGGCCCTTCCAGGGGTCCAGCTTGGGACCAGGTCAGGAGATAGGGGCAGACAGTTTGGGGAGAGCTTTACTTTAGTGGAAACTCAGAGGAAAGAGTCATGAGCGTGAGAGCCATAAAACAGGCTTCCAGGTCATCCATGCAACCCCACCTGTGACTCTGACAGTCACATAAACAATCCCAGGCGGGATGGGGGTGAGCTCTCTCAGCTGTACCCCAGATGCAACCTGGGGGCATTTCTATTCAGGGGCTGTGCCTTCTGAGACGGATTCTGGTTGGGTAGGGGCTTTGTCTTGTCCATTTAAATACTGTCTCCAACACCTAGGACAGAGCCTCTCACAGAGGTTCCCCAGCCCTGCCTAACATATTAGGTGCTCAGTAGGCCTTGGGTTCTAGTAAAGGCCCTTCTGGGTCAGTCACTTCCTTTCTCTGGGCCTCGTTTTCTACCACTGTAAAACAAGGGGGTTAGACTAGATGACCCTTAAGGTCTCTCCCTGTTCTGACAAGGGATGGTTTCTGAATCGATTGTGGGTACCTCAGGTGTGACATGTATTGAGGCAATTATGCTGGATTGGGCTTTTTAAAAAGATGGAGGTTCAGATGTTATGGGAGTGGGGGAGCTGTTGATTCAAGTAGAATTTGGCAGACACTTAAAGGAAGCTATTGTGCTCTGTTTGGGAGGGAGCATCAGCGAGTGGGAAATTGGGGAGGGTGAGTATTAAAGAGAAGTCTAGTGGCTTGTTCTGCTGGGGTTTCGAAGGCAGAACTAGGAGCAAGGGGTGCAAGTTGCCAGGAAATCAATGCAGGTATCGTGTAAGGAAATGAAAACCATCCTTACAATTAGAACTGTCCAGAAGTGAAATGGGGGCAGCCAAGTGGCACCATAGTGCGCTGGACTTGGAGTCAGGAAGACCGAAGTTCAAATCTGGCCTCAAATATTTACTAGTTGTGTGACCCTGGGCAAGTCACTTAACCTTGTTTGCCTCAGTTTCCTCATTTGTAAAATGAGCTGGAGAAGGAAATGGCAAACCATTCCAGTATCTCTGCCAAGAAAACCCCAAATGGAGTCACAGAATGTTGAACATGACTGAAATGACCGAACAACAAAAAGAGTGAAATGGGCTGCCTCCTGCAAGAGGTCATGGGTGGGTTCCCCATCACTGGAAGTCTTCAAGCTTGGTTCTGTGCAAAGAGCAATGGATTTGGAATCAGAGGATCTGAGTTCAAATTCTGACTCTGCCACTTCCTAAGTTTGTAGTCTTGGACAAGTTAATTAACACCTGAGTTTCTTTCTTAGTCTGGAGAGTGAAAGGGATTGGCCTAAAGGGCTTTTTAGGTCTCTGAATTTTAACGGGTGACCCTGTGATACTGCTGCCACTTGTCAGAGAAATGGAAGGGAGATTTCTGTTTAGGAATGGGCTCCACTAGATGACCTTGGGGGTTCCTTTTGAAGCTGGGATTCTTGCATTCTGCGAATGTCTCTTGAAGATAATGGTGGTGGTGATGGTGGGTGGTGTTCTCCATGTCCACTTTTGCTAGAGGAGATGTTGACCTAGGTCTCTTTTGTTATCTCCCCTTCCCCACCTCCCACCTCTCAGAATGCTGTCCGACACAACCTGAGCCTACACAAGTGCTTTGTACGAGTAGAGAACGTGAAGGGTGCCGTGTGGACGGTGGATGAGCACGAGTACCAAAAGCGGAGACCGCCAAAGATGACAGGGTATGTGTGCTCAGCCCTCTGGGTCGTATGGGCCTCAGCCACCTGGGCCAGCAAAAAGATCTGCTCAGTGCATGTGTTTATGTGACTAGGCTTGTACATACGTACTGTTGGCCACTTATCTCCCCCATACCCTCTGCCAGCACACACGACCATCACCACCACCGCAAGAACCAATACGTCACCCATCTATCCTAGCCTTGGCTGCATTTGAATCAAGTGTTGGAAATTTATGGATGGATGGACGGATGGATGGATGGATGGACAGATGGATGGATGGATGGATGGACGGATGGATGGATGGATGGACAGATGGATGGACGGATGGATGGATGGATGGATGAGTTGAAATTAGAAGGGAAGGACTGAGGAACGGTCTACATGGAGTCTGGAAGTAATGGAGGGACAGGGTAGATGAGGAGAATTTCCCTGGTCATGACATTCCTATTCCCCCAGCCAAGACAGAGAAATAAAGGAGGGAGGAGAGGACCATGAAGAGAAACACAGAGGTATAGAATGAGGGCTAAAGATGGTTGTGTACACACACACATACACACATATATGCATCCCATGTATAGCCTCTGTTCTGTATCTAAGTGTGTGTGTATATATATATATATGCCTTGTTAGACACCCATATGTACCACTGTGTATGTGTATGTGGCTGTGTAAATATAAATGTATACATATCTGTGTGCACGTATATATCGGGGAGGTGGGGAGATAGCGAGAGAGAACAAGAACAGTTTTCAAGGTGTGTGGAGGGGGTTGGGGAAGAGCCGTTTTATCCCAATTTCCCTCCTCTCCAGGTGTCTGGTCACCTGTCTCATGGGGACTGTCCAGTTTCCCAGGGCTGGGGCCAACGCCAGAGTCCCCTTTGGGTCAGAGGTATTTTGGGGAGAGAGCATGTGTTGGATGTGAGCAGGACAGCCAGTTGTCTCCACAGTCATGTTCTTCCACCTGAGTTTCCCTCCACTCATCCAGCCCCCCTCGTTTGTTCACTTATTCATTTGTTTGTTGTTTATCCTTCGTTCTCGAGGAGGGCCGTGGCATCAGGAAGGAGATATCATGACTTGCAAGTGAATTGGATTTAAGTGAGGCAGGGCTGTGCAAAGTCACCAGCCTCACTCTCTCCTCCTGAGCCATCTGGGTTCAATGGCAAGACATATACCAGGATGACTGGAGATAGTCCAGGATGCAGTGGGAGGCATTGGCCTTTTTAAGTTAAGGTCTTTCCTAGGTCTCAGTTTGACTGAGGCAACACCCATTAAGGCTAGGTAAGAAATGAGGCAAAGAATGATCTCTTTTACCTAGTCACCCTAGCTACTGAATGACGACTGTCCCACCAGGTCCAGGATCTGGGCTAGGAAGAGTTTCTCCCTCCTGGCTCACGATGCACACCCCAGGAAAGTGATAGTCTTTTAAATTTCTCCCTCCCTCTTCCCCCCAAGGAGTCCAACTCTGGTGAAGAACATGATCTCGGGCCTCAGTTATGGAGCACTTAATGCCAGCTATCAGGTGACTTATTGTTATCCCCCAGTGGGGTCCCATTCACCCTTCTTTCCCTTTCCCCTGCCTTGCTTCCTCAATACCAGTTCCTTCCAAAAGCCCTTGCTCACCCTTTGTCAAAGACCTGTCCTCTCCTATGCCAAAGAGCACCAGGGTAGCTGAGAGCCAAGAAAGACTTATTTCCTTTTTTGAGGGACCTCTCTCCATGTTGGCTGAGACCCCCCAACTCCCTTTCCCCCTCTATCTCCTCCTTCCCACACAGCCTCCAGTTCTTTCCAATTCTTGTGTATGGAGCTGGGGGAGGGGGACAGGAGGGAAGATTGGCCCTGATTGCCTCTCCCCTCCAGTACAGGTGAGACCCTCCTCCCTCATCTCCCTTCTCACTATCCCCAGTTCAGGAGAGGCCTTCTGTCTCCCGGGCATCTGGAGCCCCTTGCCCCACGGGCTCCCTTCTGTCCTGGATAGGATGTGAGCTGAACCTGGGAGGGTAGAAGGTGGGAGGCCAGGGCTCAAGTGGGATGGGGCCAAAGAGAACAGCAGGCCAAGGGACCTGGCATAACAGTCACTTTGTATGAGGGCTAGGAGGGTGAGAGGAGTTAATGGATAAACAAGTGAGCCCAGACGGACAGATAGGAGGTTCCCCAGCTGGTGTGATGGGGGAGGGTGAGAAGAATATCTGCCATGGCCTTCGTGTAAAGTATTCCTTTTGAAATATTTGCCCATCCCTCTTTTCTCTTGTTTCCCTCTCTAGGCTGCCCTTGCCGAGAGCAGCTTCCCCCTCCTCAACAGCCCAGGCATGCTGAACCCGGGCTCCACCAGCAGCCTCTTGCACCTCGGACATGAGGATGTGAGCAGTACTGTAGAGCCCCTCACCAGCAATGGCAGCATCAGTCCCCCACGCCTCTCCCCACCCCAATACAGGTGAGATCACCCTCTGCCCCCTCTGTCTAATGCCATAGCCCTCCCCCATTAGGAATAATAATAACAATAGCTTTGGTGCTTTAAGGTTTCCAGAGTGCCCAGAGTCATACAGCTAAGTAAATGTCTGAGCTAGAACTCATTTCTCAAGTCTGAGGCCAGTAGTCCATCCACTGTGCAACATGTCTGCCTCAGGCATTCCAGGGGAAACCACTTTCTGCTGCCATGTGACATGACATACCCACACCCCCGCTTCATCTAGAGCAAGTCAGAGCCTCCCTTCTCCCCACTTCCCTCCCTACCTCCGCCCAAGTACAAGGGAGATGTCCCCCTGGTGACCAGTTCAGGAAAGTCTGCCTTCCCTCTTCTCCCAGGCCAGGTGAAATTCTCCCTTTCTCATATGTTTCTTCAGTACAATTAAGACATTCCTATCCCTGTTCATCTTTCCTACCCTAGGACGGGGGCAGATGAAGAGAAGCATGCACACATACACATATCTACATATACAAGCTTAACAAACATACACAGACAGTACGTGTTTGCAAACATGCCCACATGTATCACACACACACACACACACACACACACACACACACACACTTTCTCGGGCAGCATAAAATTGTATCTCCACAGATCCTTTCTCTTGTGAGATAGGTGGGGTTCTGAGGGTCTGGGTATCCAGGGAGTGTAGGACACTGGGACCTGATGCCAGAGAGGTCAGAGGTCAGGTCCCAGCAAGGCAGGAGTGTTATGGTCTGTAGAGCCAGAGGTGAGGGACTGGCAAGTATTGGGGATGAGTGTAATGTGGGGAGTCGAGGGAAAAGGTCTTTCTTCCTGCCTGGGGTTTATATCCATCTACCCAACCATCCGTCCATCCCTTCTTCTCACTGCTGCAGTCACCAGGTGCAGGTGAAAGAAGAGCCAGCTGAAGCGGAGGAGGACAGTCGGCCTGGGCCCAACCTTGGCCCCACCAACCCCAGCACCGGGGCTCCCCCAGAAGACAGGGACCCTGAAGAGGATCTGCCTGGGGAGGAACTGTCGTAAGGGCCTCTGGGGGAGGGGCAGGAAGGGAAGGAAGGGGGTGAACACTCCCCCCTTCCCCTGCTCAGGAGACTCCTCCTCAGGCTCTCACCTTCCCCTCCACTCTGCACCCCCTTCTACCCCCACCTCAAGGCACTTCCAGAACAGCAGATTGGGGTGAGGGCTTCTATGCCATCCCACCTGTGACTGACAGACTTTCCCTGGCAGAGATGGCCCCCTTCCCCCTCCATTGATCTTTGCTTTTCACCCTAAGACCGGTGGTCTAGAACTGGTGGAAGAGCCAGGAGAGCATGGACCCCCAGTACCTGACTTCAGTCTGTGTCCAAGCACCTCCCTCTCTCTCCCCACCCCTTGACTTCTACCCTCCAGTCCATCCTCTCACCATGACCACCACCAGCAGGACTCTCCCCGCCACCTTTGCTTTCTGCCCCCTTCAACACTGAGACCCGCAGGCGGGGCTACAAACCCCCATTCCCATCAAGGAAGCATTTGTCCCCTCCTTCCCCCACCCCAACCTTGACCTTGCACCCTCTTCTCCAACAAGTCCAAGACAAGGCGACATTGTCAAAGGATTTAGAGCTGGAAGGGGCCAGAGAGATGATTTAGTTTCACCCCCTCATTTGGCAGATGAGGAAACTGAGGCCTAAGAAAAGGGAAGTGACTTGCTTAAAGCCACACAGTGAGCAGCAAAGTCAGGTCTTCTGATTCCAAGTCCGGTCCACTTTCTCCTCCCCGGTACTATACAAGGCATCCTTCTTCCATACTGTGAATGATCAACACCGGCACCAGCCTCATGGGGAAAGGGGAGCCTAGAGCATCTCAGACTCTAGCCCACCCCCCAAGACAAACCAGTTCTCCCTTCCCTGTGTATCCAGCAGCCTCGGGGCTGCACACGGGTGAGACCTGCTGGGGCTGTGGACCGAAAGCAGCTTCAAGAAGGGGACTGTTGATGGAAATCCCCCGCGTGAGGATCAGGCCTCCCCAAGGGAGGCGGGATGTCGCCTCGCTCACAGCTTCCCACGTCTTTGCTATAATTGTTGAGCTCTGACTCTTGCCATCTCAAGTCAAACAGGGGCCGAGGGCCCCATCTCCACTGCATCCCCCATGTACCCTGCCTTCTTATGAAGAGTGGGCAGTATCGAGGATCTAGAAGGAGAGATATGGGGACGAGGGGGGGGTTGGGAATAGGGAAGAGGGAAAATGTCCCTAAGACTTTGGTATTCACCCATGGACCTGAAGGTTGGTTCCACACTTGCGGAGGGGGAAAATCCTATGGCGTCCACCAGGTGTCCCCATGGAGCTCGCTGCTGCAGCTGGCTGCCTGGGGGAGGAAGTGTGCCCCTCAGCCTCCAGTGGTATTAGAAGAGGCTTGTGTATGTGGGGCGGGGTCTGGGGAGGGCGGGGGAGCAGGCCAGTTGCCAAGGCCAGAGGAATGGGTTACCTCTTCCAAAGCTCTCCCTCCTAATCCTTCCCCCACCCCCTGCCCCCCTCCATTTCACAGCCCCACTCAATTCCCTCTCCTCTTCTTTCCCCATTTAAACAGATGACCAAAGACCTTTCTTATGCCAGAAGCAGAAACCAAAACTTTTTGTTTGCTTTTTTTCCTTTGTCACCTCTTGCCCTCCATTCCTGATCTGACCTTCCACCTTCGCCCCCATGGCTCCCTCACCCCCCAACCTAGAAGCTGGAGGGAGGGGGGTCCCCTCCACTTAAGTTATTGTTTTAAACCAAAGTTGACAGTGTCTGTTGGTGGCCATGGCTTTCTTCCACACCCCGGTCTTCAGCTGCCCACAGAAGGGGCCTGGGGACAGGCTTCCCTGCATACCTCCCTTCTACTCTCGTTGCCTCCTCATCACTCTGTCCCTCGGCTGTCCTTCCCCTTCCTCTCTCAGTGGGTGCTTGGGATCTGAGGGGAAGGGAGAGCTCAAATGGGATGAGCTCCCTTCGGCCCCCTGGGGTAACAGTGGCTGTCTCCAAGGGCCTCTACAGGGAAGGGCCAGTTACAGGTTGCTGTTCCTGCTCCCCCTCCCCCCCAGTCCTCCTCTACCTCCAGTCAGTATTGTGTCCCAGTCATGGGCCATTCCTCTCGATCACCCTCCAGTGCCCACCCCAGGCTGGTCCCTGGTGTGCCCATCATCATACTTCTATCACTACTAGGGCTGGAGACACAAAGGTAGAGGACTGTATTCTGAGGGTTACTGGGGAGAGAGCTGAAGCAGGTAAAGGGGCAACCAGATGTCATTCCTTCCCCCTACTATGGGGGATTCCAACTTCAGGTGAAGGCAAGGCTGCTATGTCTGACACCCACCCTGCCCCTAGACTAGTCCCTCTGATAGGGACAGGACCAGGAAGGGGATGGAGGGGGACTTGATGGACTATTGCCTAGAAAAGATCCAGTTACCACACACAGACTGTGATCCTCACAAGTCCTCAGTAGGACTTGGGTGGCAAAAGATCCCTGGTGCCTGTTAGCCATGACCCTCATCCCAGTTTGTTCCTTGCCCTCTGACTTGTGCAGAAATATTAAATGCCCTCTGCTCTTAGGCCCTCAGTGTGTGTCACCTAGTGGGGGGAGGGGATGTATGATGGGGTTAAGTCAGAAGGACCTGAGCATGGAACACAAAGCATGGGAGTGGGCATTTTCATAGGAGTGGATGAGTATGTATGTATTTCTGTGTATGTATGTATGTGAGTCCATATGACCACACTCAGCCATGTATGAATGAGCAGGGATGTTGATGTGCACCCATGGGTTCCTAAAACCAATATATGTATGTCTGATTCAAAGCATCATTCACAAAGAAACAAAAGGACCTATTGGTTTGGGAAGGTAGGCTTCATTCATTGGACTGCCAATCTGGTTCCCCACTTTAGCTTCTTTTTCTTTTCCCTTCCTACCAAGCTAGGTCTGGGGACAGCTTCCCCATAAAGTGGCCTATTAAGTGGGAGAAGCTGGAGTGTTGTATAATAACAGTATTTCTAATAGCCTTAGGTTCTGCTCAGGCTACCATTCTCCTCTGCCAGCCCCAGCTCTCCCTCTCTGGATGTGGCCTAGCTCCTCACTGCCACTTCTATGTGCTGTTCTCTCAGCTTCTTACTACACTTCTGGGTCTTCCCTCACCCCCAAGAAGAGCTGAGGACACACACACACACACACACACACACACACACACACACACACACACACAGAGCACAGCCCTCATGCCCTACCTTCCCAGATAGATGAGGTACAGCCCCTTGCTGCCTTCCATCCCAGCTCCAGGTTCCTATTCCTTCCCCATATCTCTCCCTAAACCGTTCATTTTTTTTATATTTCAAAGTTTCTTTCCCAAAAGCTTTCTCTCTAACTCTTCCTCCTTCTCTTTCTTGTTTCTTTCCTAAGTCAAACCCTCCACCCCTATACCACACCACCCAATGTTTTTATGAAGGTTTGGAACCCAAGTTTTTTGTTGTTTTTCCCAGGCTGATGTGCCTGGGAGTGGGACAGGGAGGGGGAGGGTAAGCAATTTCCAGGATCTGTGTACTTCTTGGACTAGCCCTTACAGTCACCCTGACCATCAGATCAAAGATTCCTTCCTTCCTTCGTTGATGGAAACCAGATCTCTTACAAGGGAAAGTAATTCTGAAGACTTGAGTCTGAAACATTGGGCCAGCAAGCCCACATCCTTATGGTGGTGTATGTGTATGTGTGTGTGCATGCACAACGTGTTAATGTATGTATGTATATACGCCACTGTAAGGTTATGTATATGGGCACATGCTTACAGACTTGAATGTGTGTGTGAGTGTGATTGTGTGAGTTTGTCTCATGCAAAGCGACTATACTGGCTGGTCTAGCTGGTAGCCAGGATGGGATGTAGAGTCAATGGATGCCTAGGTGAGTGCTGCTGGCCTCCCAACAAAGAAGGGACAGGGGGACAGGAGGGACCCTAAACATGCTTAAACCAAAGTCCTTCCCTGACCAGTTTTGCACTCTCTCCAACTCTGACTTCCCAACTCCACCCATCCCTTACAAATCATGAGTTCTCTGCTTCTATTCCTCTCCCTACCATCACCTCCAAGATGGGGACCTGATAGATGGAAGGAAGCCTGCCTGTTTACTTCTCATACCATTTGTCCTCTATATACCTTCCTCTGAGATGTAATCACAGGACCCCAAGTCTCAACTTTCAAACTTCCTTTTCACCACCCACAACCACCATCAGAGTCTTCCAGATACCCCAACACTTTTGGGGCCAGGGAGCTCCTAGACCAGGGTCCTTCAGGCATAGGGCTGAGGGAGGATGGGCCTGAGAGGGAGGGTTGGCCTTCACTGGGGGGAAGTACAATACTGGGACCCAGCCCCCTTACCATAGCCAATCTCAAATGTTTAACACTACAGACTAAAGAAGAGTGGGGAAGAGGAGTGGGCCCTGAGGATTCCAACTCCTTAATGTGTCATCTCTCTTCTGTGGCCTCATTCCTTCTCTATTTCTGGCCTGATTTCTGTCTTGTCTCCTTCCTTGCCCCTCCCCCCACTCCCTTTTTCTCTGCCTTTCTCTGTCTCTATTATTTGTATGTCTACCATCCCCCCCTCCCCACCCCTTCTGTCTGCTTAGTGTGTGTGTATATGTATGTGTGTCTCACTTGATCTTTCTTAGCCCCTATATGTGTCGTTCTGTATCTCTCCCACTCTTTTCCTTCATCCTGCTGGACACATGCTCAGAGCTGGGGTCCCCCTCTCTTCCTCTCCTCTAGTGGGGGCTACAGAGTGAAAGGGGTCAGGTGGGACAGATAGGGGATTTCATGCTTTCCCCTTGGCCCAGGCCCAGTCCCATCCTGTGCTGTATAAAGGAATAGCATTGCTGTGTATTCGTACTCCGCCTACCCTCCCTCCGTTCTGTGGTGGCAGACAGGTGGACCCTGTACAGTAGAACTAGCTGCATGTAATCTGTATGGACAACAGCATTATATATAATGCAATAAAGTGAATTACCTACAATGATGCCCCTTCCCCCTTCTTTCCTCCCCACACCTCCAAAAAGCAACTGAGAATCCAGGATGCTTCTTTGGAGGCAAGTTGATCCCTCTCCCTGTTTCTGGTCCAGAACAGCCTTTGCTCCATCCCATAGGGGTCTGCTCTGTGCTAAAGAACTTCCCAAGGATGAGATTGCTGTGCTCTACTCACCACCCCCAACTGCTCCCATCCAACTTCACTCTCAGAAAGTCATCCCAATTGTCTAATCTCGTAAGGATTGTAGATCTATATAACAAGAAGAGATTTCAGAGACCACCTCGTCCAACCTCTTCATTTTACAGAAGATGAAAGAAATTCAAGGAAATTAAATGACTTGCCCATGGCCACCCAGATAGAGTCAGAGGCAAGATAAGAACCCAAATCCCCTAATTCCTGAGCCAGTATTCTTTCCATCATATCAAGGTGCCTCCACTCCAGACCTTCCAGGCAAAGTTTCAACCCTTACTTCGTTCTGTCCTGTGCTCCGAAAACAGAAGATAGCCCTTCAGGGATTTGGAAATCCAGTAGAGTTCATGCCCCTGGGATTGACTTAGGAATGGCAAGTAGAAGGCAGAGAGCCCAGAGAAAAGAAGGGAGTACATCTCTGAACCCCATGAAGTTTAGACTCCTAAATTTAATTCCCTCTTTCTGGATTGTCTCTCTCAAGTTCACTTCATCTATCCTTTCCTGCCTCAAAACAAGAAAGGCCATCTTCCAGCCAGGACCGATTGGGTTCATCCTGTGCCAGGAGATCCCAAGGAAAGGTGTTTTCAAAGTCTCCCACACTCACCCACTCCTAGGCCTCAAACAGCTCAGTTACTCATATTTGTTTAGTGCTGACTAGTTATAAAATACCTCTCATGCCTAACACCTTTGTATCTTCACAACTCTGTGCTGTTGTGGGACGGCAAGTATTATTAGCGTTACTATTATTTACACCAGATCTTTATTTAGTTGAAGGAAGTCCTAATGAGGAGACTCCTACCAGCCCAGACAGGCTTCTGTCTTTTGTTTTGCAAAATTTTTTTGCTTTTTTTTTTTTTTGTGAGGCAGTGAGGGTTAAGTGACACAGCTAGTACATGTTAAGTGTCTGAGGCTGTATTTGAACTCAGGTCCTGACTCCAAGGCCAGAGCTCTATTTGTTGCGCCACCTAGCTGCCCCCAAATTATAGTTTTTGCATGTTGTCTGGGACACCCATAGGTTTAAATTACTTGTCCAGGGTCACAAAACTGGCATATGCCAGGCAGGATTCTGAACTCAGTTCTTCCTGATTCTGAGCCCAACTCTCTATCCATGATGCCATGCTGCATCTAGAATTATTAGTATTCCCATTTTCTAGGTGGAGAAACTGAGGGTCAGAGAGATAAAATGAACAGGGTGATGTGGATAGTAAGTAGCACTATGGCTTGACCTGATCCCCTGGCTCCAAGCCCAGTGCTCAGTCCATTCGCTACCTCTCTGTACCTTGGTCAGTGATCAAGCCTCCTTCCTGGTTGTTTATATCTCTGAAGTTCTGGGGAACAAGTGAGCGCCTCTGATTTCTGTTGCTCCTGACACCGATGCAGCTGTTCTCCCTGGCGGTCCTGGAGGGAATTCCACCGAGTTCTCAAAGGTACTTTTTGTGGGCCCAGCTTCCAGACAGTGGAAGAAGAGGGAAAAAAAGAAACATCGGGCCTTCTCTTGTTCAGAAACACAATCCCTCCAACACACACACACACACACACACACACACCCGCCAAAAGCCTTCAGCCTTCTGTCGGCTTCTCATTGCAGGACTCTAAATGACCAGCAGAGGGTGGTGTTGGACAAAGCAGTCACTGAGCTCTCTCCCTTGAACTTGACCTTTGGTGGGAAAAGGGGATGAGGTATCAGGATAGGGAGGAAGAAGTAGCTGCAGGGGTGTGTATCTCACCTTCCCTCCACACATACATGTAACACATTTCTTACTGCCTTAGGAAGGCCCTGAACTGCAGCCTCTGGATGGGGTAAAAAACAGGTTAAGCCACCTGATATTTTGGACAGTCTTTTCAGGCCCCCCCCCCCGAATTGTCTCTTCAGAAATCTCCCAGATAGAGCATGGAAAAGGAATGAGGGAGGAAGAGAAAGAGACAGACACAGGGAGACAGAGAGACACACAGAGAGAGAGAGGAAGGGATGGAGGGAAAGGGGGAAAGGAGGAGAGGGGAGAGAGAAAGAGAGAGAAAGAAGGGGAGGGGGAGAGAAACAGAGAGATATTCAGAAATGGGGTGGGTGGGAAGAGTGGGGTTAGGCACCCATGGCTTAATCTCTATTTTTGGTAACTCTGTTTTCCTCAGCTCCCTCCACCAAACCATTCCTTTCCAGAAACTCCCATTGGGGAAGCTTAGGCACAGAGCTCTACAGAGCTGAGAAGGGGGGGTCCTGGCTTCCATATCCACAGCCCCCATCCTTCAATCAGCTGAGCCACTGCAGAGAGGGTGGGGGGCAGGGAAGGAGGCTGAAGAAAACCTATAAAAATAATCAAACAGGGGCCATGTATATGAAGAAAGGAGTAAGGAATGGGGAGGACAAAGGAGGCCTTGTCTGGACTTAGAAACACACTAAAGTCAGGCACACATAAGCACATCAAATTATGCACAGACACCTCCTAGCCGCACACAAATACACACACACAGAGAAGCTTAAATCCAGATTCAGAAACGTAGACAGGATACTAAGTGCATATATACAGACACACAAATCGTTAACACACATGTACACGTTCACATTCAAAAACACACATATATGTGTGCACAAAGGCTCTTCCAGCTTGAGGAATCCATGACCTTATGTTCCACACAGTAAATAGGCACAGTAAACAGGGCACCCCCCCAACATGCCCACACAGACTTCCAAATCATTGTCACCTCTGTCCATGATCACATGTGATAGCTACACATGTATACACATGAAGTTAGTCACCCAAGCTCACACTCACATCCATGGTCCTCCCTCCTCTTCTGTTCCACCTCCTGCCAGGAGTGAAAGTTTAGAATAACACAGCCCCTCCCAAGGGACTATGTCATGGTTGAGCCCAGTCTGAAAGGCCTTCTGTGCTCGTCTGGATAGGGGCAGGAGGAGGGGTAATGAGCTGGTCCAGGCCTAGGAGAAGAGGAAAATCAGAGGCACAGAGGTGGGTGAAAGATAGGCATCATGATAATTATGGCTAACATAACTGTTAGCCTTGTGGTTTGCAAACCACTTTACAAATATGATCTCATTTCATCATCACAACAACTCAGGGACGGTAGGTGCTATTATTATTCTCATTTTACAGATGAGGAAACTGAGGTCAAATGACTTGCCTGTGGGCCAAAAAGCTGGCAAGTGTGTGAAGCAGAATTTGTCCTCAGATCTTCCTGCTGCTTCAGAAGCTAAACAGGTCCCTAGTCCTGACATCACCCAAGCCCCAGGCAGTGTGGAACAATGGTCTGTGCTCAGCTCCCAATGCCAGGGATCTCTCCCTGCCCTGCCTGCCTGTTTCTCTAAGCTGTTTCTTCTTGCGGAGGAAGAAATGATAAGAGGGATGGAATCAAGTTGGTTAGGGGTTAACCTTTATTCTTGTCTCTGAGAGTCCTTGGGATTGAATACCAAGACCTTGAAGCAATTAATCCATGGTCCTTTATTAGTCACCTACTATAATAATAATATGAGGCCATGTGTTATAGAGAGAAAAGTAGACTCAGAGTCAGAAAGACTTGGCTTCAGTTCTTGTCTTGGACATGTACTGGTTGTGTGACCCTCTGCCAGTCACTTAAATCTCTTAGTGCCCTAGCTGGAGAACAGGTGGAGATTTTTATTCCTAGAAGGAACTTTCCTGCCAGAGTTCCTTATCCAATAAAATAGCAGGTCTGGACATCATTGTGGTCATCATCATCACCATTATCACCACCACCATCACCATCACTATCACCATCACCATCACCACCATGACCATGACCATGACCATCACCACCATCATCATCACCATCACCACCATCACCACCATCACCATCACCATCACCATCACCACCATCACCATGACCATCACCACCATCACAATCACCATTACCATCACCACCATGACCATCACCATGACCATCATCACCATCATCATCAACACCATCACCATCACCATCACCACCATTACCATCACCACCATCATCATCACCATCACCACCATGACCATCACCATCACCATCACCATCACCACCATCACCATCACCACAATAATCATCACCATCACCACCATCACAATCACCATGACCATCACCATGACCATCACCGCCATCATCATCACCATCACCACCATCACAATCACCATCACCACCATCACAATCACCATGACCATCACCACCATGACCATGACCATCACCATCACCACCATCACAATCACCATCACCATCACCACCATGACCATGACCATCACCATCACCACCATGACCATCATCATCATCATCAACAACAGCAACACAGTCCTGCACTAGGCCCTGTGGAGGTAATATAAAGGAATCCTCCAAAGAACCAGAAGAAAGCCAGAAGGGAGACCCTCTAAGGAGATCCAGTACTTTTGCTTTAGGCACAAGGCAATGTTTTCAGCCACTTAGTCTTATGGCTGTGTCCAGATAAGTCATAGATTTAGAGTTGAGAGGGACCTTAGAGATGAACTAGTTCAACCCTCTTGTTTCATAAATGGGGAATCTGAAGCCCTGGGAAAGGAAGCCATTTATCTAAGCCAAACAGGAAATAAGTTGCAGTGGCAAGATTCGAACTCTGGTTCTCTGTCCTTAGATCTAGCATTCTTTTCTCTATTCCACACTGACTGAGGAGAGAATGGAGGCAGGGAGACCCGTAGGAGGCCAATGCAATAGTCTGATTATAAGGTGATGAGGTCCTGGGCTTGGGGTAAGGGGGAAATGGAAAGAATCTGAACTAACGATTGAGGTCAGTTCAGAGCACTCAGGTAAGGAAATCTCAGATCGATGAC